AAACCGCAAATGGAAACCGCAAATGGAAACCGCAAATGGAAGCCGCAAATGGAAACCGCAAATGGAAACCGCAAATGGAAACCACAAGAGGAAACCACAAGTGGAAACCACAAGTGGAAGCATTGCCTCCGGCCTGAAGCATTACCACAAATGGCTTGCCCTGGTAAGCGGAAAGAAGGACTAAAACCTGCGGCATACCCCATTCTCGTCGCACATGGTCCGGCGGAACTCTGCGCGGGTTTGAAACCCCGCGGCGGTTTTGGGCGGTATTCACATCCCCCGCTTTCTCGCTCGGTGGCTGAAACATCGCGATTTGGAGTGCTGGAAGGGGACCAAGAATGAAATCCCGATATGACTTTAGCCACACAACACGGGTTCGGGACGTAGGCTACGTGCCACATCTAAGCCAGCAAACAAACCGAGTTCTTGCCGCCACACCCACGGCCTGGCTGCCATCCGACTGTGCGCCATTTCTCCGGCTGCCTCGGCGCCGAAAAAAAACACTCCATTTCACATGGATAAATCCCATTGCTTCAGCCTTGAAGTAGGGTTGCGGGAATAAGGTTGGTTGATTCCTACTGATGTGTGATACCAGCGAGCATCCCCTTTAAATTAAAATTTGCAATTTGGACGGCCTTCTTTGGAACCACAGAAGCGGTTGCAATTCCCAAAACCCCAGTTGCTCTTGTCAACAAACGCTTCAATTCCACACAATGCACTTGGCGGGGTTCCACTGGAGGGCAGCCACTTTGACAAATTGACAAATTGTGTGGCACAAAACTGCGGTTGCTCGCCAGCTGCGCGCAAACCTGGTGAGCGAAGCCGTATCTTGTTTAGCAAGACGTCCACCTGAAGCCGACCTTTGAGACCGTCGCCACCTTCCCGTGTAGCTCCTGACTCGCTGGTTCGAAGATCATGAGAAAGGTGCCAGCCGGCCAGCCATACGTCGATCTGCAGCTTGCGTGGTGTTGGATGGCTTTCGGGACTACGCAACTGACCGGAGCCCTTTGCAAGCCCTTGATCCAGGTTCAAGTTTTATGTTACTGAAGTTCGCAGCCCGAGTGTTGGTGTCCTCCAAGCGCCCAAAGAAAAAAGCACAACCAGCGCAACATGCAACCCATCCACAGCCGACACCAGCATCGCCCCCACCAAGAGAGAACTCCTTTTCAGGTCGCAACCATGCTTACAACGAGCAAGAGGGGCAAGGGCAATATGGCCAATTGGGAACCCTTGGCTGAACTTCATCAAAGCTCGGTTAGATTCATGTACCCACCATCCGTCGTGGAGGGTGTTCCAACAATCAAAATTATGAGCGATTCTTGATGGCATCCGACAATTAGAAACAAACCCATGTTTAAGGAGGTTTACTAACTTGTGCCTGATGTAGATTTTGTCCATCCAGTCGCGGCATCTGCCTGCTCGTCAGAAAGTTCAATTATAGCCCTGCCATCAGCAGCATTGATCTCAGAAGACAGTATTCGGGGTCCCAGAAGCTTCCCTAGTGCCTCCTCGAAGAAGTCAACAACCTGCATGTTTACTAAATGTAACCCGAATTGGATCAGATGCATGCAGGAGCAGAATCTTCAGCTAGGTTATCAGTCTTGGAACTCAACAAGGACGAATCAAGGGGCGTTCCATGTTGTCTTGTGTACTCATGTTCCTGTTCAAGGCAGGGACTGAAAGGGCGGGTGTCAAATGCGTTTGCTGGTACCCTTTTCCTCTTGGTGAAAAGGGAAAAATGCACACTGTGTCTTGGGTCTACATGGGGGTTGATCAAAAAGGTCCTTTACATATGGGGGAGAACCACCAAAAAGATGACAAGGGCCTTTAAGGGTCAACCCCCACATCGCCAAATGGCAAAACCAAAAGGAAAACCACAATTTTGGAGGGTCCCCCGCCAAAAAAAACACCAATTTTGATACATCGACAAAAGGCAAAACCTTGAAATTGGAGGTTTGGGGGAAGAGCTTCCTTCAACTCAACCGCTCCTCGAGACTCTGCTCCCAACGCCGCTGTCGTGCGACCTGAAGATGGAGCCAGCCCCCTCCCCCTGCCTGCGACCACGAAAGGGCCACTGAGTGAGCTGATTCTGCCAATGTTTGGCTGTGGCTCAAAAACACGTACAAAATGGCACTTTGCCAAATGGAACCAAAGACCAAAACCTGCACATCCTAGCTCTTTAATTTTGACCCACCCATACCTATATTTGTACAAGCCATTGGTCCCGAGTCCTCTTGCGTAACCAATGTGCAGGTCTGGCCACCTGTGCTACCAATAGTGGTTCCTGTTGCGCCTTGCTGGCTTGAGTGATTGCTTGCGGACCCACAGGGCAACTCGCAGAACCCACCCAGACACCAACATAAAAGAGAGAGAGAGAGAGACAGAGACAGAGAGAGAGAGAGAGACCAACGAAAAGAGGAACGACTCCCATATCCTCGACCAGCTAAAGTCAACCAAGAAAAAAGGATGCGTAATTAGCGCGCGAAGCACAAAATTTGTACTAGTGTCTATTAGATTACTATGTTTGCTAGTAATAGTAGTAGTAGTAGTAGTAGTAGTAGTACTAGTCGTACTAGTAGTAGTAGCAGCAGCAGAAGTAGCAGCAGAAGAGGCAGTAGTAGTAGTAGTAGTAGTAGTAGTAGTAGCAGGATCGTCATCGTCATCATCGTCTCGTCATCATCATCATCATCATCATCATCATCAGCATCATCATCATCATCATCATCATCATCATCATCATCATCATCATCATCATCATCATCAGCAGCAGCAGCAGCACCACCACCACCACCACCACCACCACCATCACCATCACCATCACCATCACCATCACCATCACCATCACCATCATCATTTTCATAAATGCCATAGAAACCCAGAACGAAGGCCGAAAGCAAAAGCAACAAACATGGAAAGCCCAATTTGTCAAACAGAAGCCAAAAACCAACAGGGCACGATGAAGCCAAACACCAAAACCCAAAACAACAAAACAGGGCACCCCCCCAGCAACCGGCCTGCCGCCTTTGATGCTCCTCAAAGGCTGTGTGGGACATGCGACTCTGGTGCTCCAGGGCCTGACGTCGCTTGCGTGTGGGTCAAAAATAGGGTAACCCCAAAACGGCTTGCCCTGGTCAATGGAAACAAGGACTAAAACCAGCGGTCCAATTCCTGGTGGTAAAGGTGGGTGTCTTTTGGTTGGGTTTTAAAGGGAACACAAAAGAAACTTTCAACCGAAAAGGGCTATTCATCCAACTTGCTTTTTAAGGGGAACCCAACATCTAACTAATGCGAGATGCGCACGGAACTCGCGACCCAGCACGATCAGGTACAGAACCACATCAAACCAGCTATTTTGGGCAGAACATGGATAGGCGATTCAACCCCCTTGGTTTGAACCATGTTTGAACCACTGTTTAAAAAACCTCCAAAGAGATCCCTAATCCAATATGTCCCTTTTGACATTCAAACAAGAAAGCATGGAAAAGGATCGAAAAGTAAGACTGGGTTTTCCAACCCTTGTTCAAGGAGCTGAGGACCCAAAAGGGGAGCGTCAAAAAACACACACAACTTGAATTCATTTGGAATCCCTTGGTGGAATTCACTACCATTGGGATGTATGTCCAACAAACATGTTGGTGGCATTTTGGTCGGCGCGATGCTCTTTTCGAATGATGGTAGTTTCTGAGTTGCACTCGAGTCACTCTTTACAAGAAGCTGACAGACAGAAACAAAAAACAACAAAAGTTGTAAAGAAACACAAACTACTGAAACTTTGTTCAAAGCCCGGCTTGCCCTATCAGGGAGCTCACTCACTCCACTCTGTCTGCCGGATTGGGGGATCCGCTCGTGTGTTCGCCCAAATATTCGGGTCACATCGCTCTGGTCACAGACTAGTCGGAAGGGTCCGCGCAGGGGTATGCATCAAAAAGGAGGACCCCAAACTTCGTGCTGTTCCTCTTGGTTCCCGTTTAAACCGACCACCAGCAGTCCCCAATCGGCCGGCCTGCACCTGCGCTGCAATCTCGGCAATGCGCTTCTCCCCCTCGCCCTGGCAGCGAGAGGTCTGAGGCAGGTGGGCAAAAATGCTGCGCGAGTTCGGTTCCCTCCATCAGAAGCGCGAATCAAACCCCGAGATCAACGGCATGGCTGTTACCTCTGCAACTAATTGTTTGCTCCTTCTAGAATCGTACAAGTCTCCAAACAGTACAGTGAGGAACGCCGCATTGCAGGCCCCAGATCTGGCGTCCCTAAAACAATGCCCCCTTGTGCAAAACCGCAATTTCCACATGAGAAGACTAACTTTGTGAGCCAAATCAACCGCAAACTACTGGATGCGTGGACCAAACCTTATATGCCCCCTTGCTCCTCGTCAACCCTAGGCGCATTCTTCAAGCTGCAAGCTGAGCTCTTGGGAGGCCGGTTCCCCAAGCCCCGGAAATACTCTCCCAGTCAACATGGATGACGTTCGGGGAAATGGGGAAATGGTCCATTCGGTTTGGACCATTCGCCGGCCGTGGATTGCTGGGAGGGTATATAAGCCATACATGTGGCCTTTGCGTGTTTTTTTCAGGGACCGCCTTGTGCTCTGAGGCGCGGCGGTTGTCCAGGGAGTCCAGGCGCTGCCTGAGATCGGCAATTTGGTCTGGGGGGTTGGAACGTGAAAACCCTCACAGGGCACTCACGCGTAGAAAGACCCCAAGTCCTATGAGGGTGTGTGTTCTCGGATCATACGTTTTTCAGGCGCGAAACCAGTGCCGGAGAGTACGTGCATACTTTCCTTCCTTAACAACATGCTCACGTGCATACCCGTACAATATGATGTGTGTGTGTGTGTGAACCAGTCCCGGAGAGCACGTGCATACTTTCCTTCCTTAACAACATGCTCACGTGCATACACGTACAATATGATGTGTGTGTGTGTGTGTGTGTGTGTGTGTGTGTGTGTGTGTGTGTGTGTGTGTGTGTGTGTGTGTGTGTGTGTGTGTGTGTGTGTGTGTGTG